TAAAGATTGAAGGATAAAGGCATCGTCTTCTAAGAAGAAATAAGATAACCATGACATTTGTATCATATATTAATTTAAAACAAAGTGAATAACTTGTCTTACATATAAGTCCTATCATGTTCCGACGATAGAGCAAGGGTGATTCTCAAATTATAAATTAGATCTGTCTATATTTCTGAGATGAGGTATTATGTGCACTATTTAAACTATTCGAACTCATATTTGTTGCCATATTTATCACAACGTTTCGGCCGTTATACGCTCCGGCCTTCTTCAGGTGGCTGGAATGTCAAACTGAACCCTTTATTTCGCTCGCTGACATCCATTAGACATGGCACGTGGAACTGGACCAGTCCACCCCAGGCAACAAAGATGAGGACAATAGTCTGAATAATGTAAATAGTGTAAATTAGATGTTGTACAAGGCCAAACATATGGGGCACCGAGTGAGGCTCAAACACACTACACAATTGTAATTGTTCTAGCGATACAATCTAAGCATTACAGCACGTCAAGATGCCCAGTGTTGATCTGTCAATGAATGTATTCCAAATGTGGGCACTGGAGAAGGCATTTTTTACTTGGTCCAACTTGGTCCACACCCAATTTAGTAATCATTTGGTAACACGTCTGGTGATTCTAGACGACCTACAAGAGTTTATTGTCAAGTGTTTGTAATGACTGAAATCATGCACTATCTTGCAGTAGGTTATTTTTTATACGTCAATTAATAATATTTACAACTTTTAATTTGCCAGCTCCTCATTACAATAATAAGTCTCTATTGTGAACCAGATTGCAAAAGGCTGTAAGGGTTTATACCAAACAGCATATCATGAAACAGTAAAGAGATTAGGCTTGTGATGAAGATCCAATTTTGAAAATTCTGATGGAAGAGGAAAAAATTTTCTATAAACTAGATTGCAAATGTCTGTAAGGAATTATCCTAATCATCAAATCACGAAAAGTCGAGAGATTAGGTTTGGGGTGAAGATTCTATTTTGAAAATTCTGATGCAAGAAGAAGTAATATTCAATAGACTAGATTGCAAAAAGCTGTAAGGATTTATGCTAACAGCTCATCATGAAACAGTGAAGAGTTTAGACTTGGAGTGAAGATTCAATTTTGAAAATGCTGAAGCAAGAGGAAATACGAATCCACTGATGATTGAAGTTTTTGTGTTGAGGGCTTTGTTAACGGAAACAATGAAATCTTTTAGCCACTTACGATACCACAAGTCCAGGGAATCCAGTATGTATCGAATTCGCTATACAAAGGAATTGGTCAACAGAAGCCAAGAAAGCATATTTTGGTTAAGTTTTTTTCAGTCATAAAATAAAAAGCGAATCAAATGCGAACCAACGTCGTATTATGAAAGAATATGTCAATTGATCTCGGGAAACGATATTAAGTTTAAGCTTTGTAAAGCAAAAACAATAAATATGAAAACTTCATTGAGTATTGAAGTCGCTACAAAAAAGAATCGATTAACAAAATCAATTAAAATATGTTAGGAGATCACTTAGGCAAAAATCCAAAATCCTAAGCAATCTAGTGGAAGTCACACTGGCTATATGACTGAAACGCTGAATTGTGAATATATTGCATATAAAACTGTTATTTTTAAGTTATTCGTCTAAATGAAGTTTTAATGTGGTTCAGGTTGGCGATTAATTTAAGTTTCCCTTTGGAAATTATCGACAATCTCTTTATTTGAGCGGTTAAAAATATCAGCATTTGAATGAGGCTAAAAATAATTTTTTTTTATTTGAACTATTTTGTCCTTTTACGAAAAACGTTTTCACTTTACAAAACAGAGAGAAAAGTTTGCATTTGAAATTTTTAATTCATCTAACGAGAAATCACAAAAATATTTGCTTTTTTCACACTTTGTTACATTTAGCAGGGTCAGCAAATTTTCAGATTTCACTTCTTAACTTCAAATCTTCAGGATATAAGTAAGAATTAAAGTTTTGCAGAAAGCAGCTGAACGGTGTTAATCTATTGATATTTGTACAAAATATCTATGTAATGCTACTGATTTCCGAATAAGATGAAACTTGTTCTAATAAAACCCAATATACAGACACTCCTTATTTAACGACTGGATTCCGTTCCATTGATTTGGTCGCTAAGTGAAAACGTGTACCTGACTAATGTTTCAAGTATAATTTACCTCTAATGCTTCAATCAGCTTCAGATAATTTGAATGTTACTTTGACGCCATTTGTAATATTTCGCATTTATTTCTAAATCTACACAGCAAAGTTGTACTGAACAACAAACAAAATTCGAACATCAGATCTATATTCTTTGGTTGACATTCTGTAAATATATAATCAGTTCTGATTTCTTCTTAACTTCATTCATTTTACTTGAATTCATTTTGAAGAAAGAGAAAAACAATCGCAAACAATGTTTTAATCCCGATTCGTTGCTTTTTTTCTTATGTTTTAATTTTGTGAGATTTTATAATTGATCATAAGTCCATGGTCGTTAAACAAGTAAATCTTTAAGTGGCTGTAATGCAAACAATGGCACTAGGGATGCATAAAAAAGGATAATTATCTTAAAATCTTTCTTAAACTCAAAGCAGAAATAATGAGCGATCTTTTTATTCATATTACGCAAGAGTAGTTATGATAATGTCAACGCTGATTGCTTTGCTAAGGTCAAGACCTGTCTGGTACAAGTTAACATTTACGGAGTATCGCAAAGATGAAATTTACTATCAACAATTTTTTAATCTGTCAGGTTTTCGACGATTACCTGTTTGTGGAAATTAGAGTTGTTAATTAAAAAATGATATTTAATTCAGCAGAAGAGCCTGTCACAGACTGAATCTACCTGGAAACTAACTATGAATGAGATTGAATTTCATTCTGTCTTCCCTGACACGCAGATATTACTGTGTATGCGTGAATAGGCATCCTGAGAGACGCCAATGTGAATTGTGTGGTCGTTGTCGTCTTCACAGTGAATAGGCATCATTTTCTTTTTCAGAATGATTACTGGTTTGATTCAATTTGGGAAATCCATTCAAAATTTTGTTACTGACGTGAATTCGTTGAAAGTCATTCACAACAAAAACAGAAAAGCTGTAAATTTTGAATGAATCTGGACAGCAATCAAATCAAGTGAATGGTTGGCAGTGGGAAAAAGTACGAAAAAATTTATGCCTAGAGGTGTCCGTAAAGTTTCCGTCCATTTTAAATGCCTCGATTGCTATTTTGTTATTACGTCTCGTTCACGTATTTGGGTGCAAACAGCGTCGTGTTCATCTCTCAAATTCTCCTTACAATCCAGATTTGAATCCCGAGGATTTAGTTTTCCACACAATCGAAATCGCCATTAAGGTGAAGAGATTTCAAAATGTACGTGACATCAAAGAAAGAGCGGCAAGCCAGCTGACAACGATCCCAAAACAGGATTTCGGAGATGATTTTAAAAAAAAAGAAGGGCGTAGTTATAATATGTCGGGTCCCAATTGGAGTACTTTGAACAGTACGAAGTCGACATTGCTCTAAATAGGGTATTTGTCCGTTAATATAAAATGCATAGATCATTTTTCACTGCTAAATTTACATATATATATATATATATATATATATGTGTGTGTGTGTGTGTGTGTGTGTGTGTGTGTGTGTGTGTGTGTGTGTGTGTGTGTGTGTGTTTAGAAGAAATAGAATTTTGGCATCATGAAGAACGATGCCGATTTTCGAGCTGGTAAAAAGACAAATCTTATTAAGGGCTACAAGGGAGAGGAAGATGTTGAGAGGCATGATCACCAACCTCCTGAAGGGACACGGCGCTAAATGAAGAAAAAGAAATATGTAGATCCTACTTGCACTAATAATACTACTCAACAGTGCCGCTAATGGCGTACGTTTAGAATTTTACGAAACCAGGAAATGAAATCACAAACCCTTTGAAAGATCAATGAACAACATTTATAATGAGAAAATATATATTTAAGAATTCATTTGCGGAAGCCGTCTAATAACTGTCACGATTTAACGTAATATTCCATTATTTATTTTTTTATGGAATGTCTAAGCTAGTATTCATTCTTATCAGTATAAATTGAGGCGTCTGTTTTCTATTGTTTATTAAGTAATACGGAAATGATCCTCAAGACAATTATTAAATACTAACAGTTTAAAATCTAATAATAGCAGAGATATAAAGAAAAATGTATGTGCGGTCTTTTCTACAAGTGATATTGTGGTGTGTAACGCAACAATTCAACTGATGATAACAGGTAGGCAGAAAGAAACCCGGTGTCGCACATCCAACCTTCTCACGAGCTGAAAGCCCTCTCCTGAAACAGCAAAAACGAGCCTGCTTATACAGCCGCGGACCGACCACGATTTGCATGCGAATGATGAGACAACGAGATTTCGCTAACTAATCGAGACCGCCCGGCATAAAACGTGGGCGCCGCCATTTTGGTTTTTCTTTTACCGTTGGAAGGACCAGAGTTTGCATACTGCGCAGATTCGAACGCGTTTCCGAGGTAAGCCATTTTCACAATTTTCCCCACACTCTCCCCCTGATCTCATGATCACAAACAGGGCAGGGAGGTGTTATCCCTCCGAAGGGGGATAACACAAGCTTCATCCTCGTGCGTGTTCTCGTCTGTGGTTTGAGTGTCGGTAAACACTGTGTCCGCCGGGAGGCTGCTGTTATCAGAATCACTGCCCTGCAGGTCTAACTCAAGGCAGATTGAACGCTCACTACTCCCAGACTCAGAATCGCTTTCATCGCTCGGTAGCGGTAGTGATTGCATCACCGGTCGCAAGTCTTTAATGTGACGAGGCACCCCATCAACTCTCACAGATTGCGGGCTGATCCTCCGTAACACGTCCAGTGCCGTACTTTGTCGTACACTTGCCGCGTGGGTTTTTGACCCAAACAAGTCTCCTTTTTTCAATCTCCCTCCAGTCACTTCTAGTTCAGGCAGCGGGTTGGCTTCGATGACTCCTAACGCTCGGATCGCATCAATCCCAAGTAGCAGGTCGTACCCGAGGGGCCTTTGACGTGCCACCAAGACGTCGACTGGCATGACTCCCTCCATCTGTTAGGACTGACACAGTCCCGACACCACAACAGGCCCGGGACACCCCGTCAATCGTCCGAATCTCGATTTGTTGACTGTTCCATGTCACGCATCGATTCGCACTAACGATCGATCGGGAACATCCAGTGTCAAAGAGCGCCGAACATCGTTTACCCTCAACGTACACGTTGACAACAGGCAATGCCGCATTTACTGACCGAAAGGGGGCAAGGGTTGCGACAGCACCTTGTCCCCGGACTCGTTTCCCGAGCAATCCTGTGCTACATGGCCTAACTCTTTGCAGCGATAGCAGCGTAGTCGTGCTCGGTTCCGTCTGCTGCTCCCTCCTACATCACTTCGGCTCCGGCAGTCCCTAGAGAAATGGTTGGGTCCACCGCACTTGTAGCACTTTGGGCCCTCCCTCGGTGTCTCAGCCGTTCGCACGGCTGCCGCGACCTGTTCCGTGTCCTTCAAGATGTTTCGGGCCCTGGCTAGCAATTCGTCAATTCCCAGTGTGTCCAATCTTGAAGACGCTCGCAGGAGCCGACTGGTGTCGTCGGGAAGCCCTGCCAGGAAGGCGCACCCCAGTATGCGGTCCGTTGCTCCGCCAAACGGTACTGCCAGCCTTCGCAAATCAGCCAGGTAAACATCCACGGTCTCACCCGGCTCGAGCTGTCGTCTGACGAACTGTTTCCAAGCGATGAATGGGTCTATTCCAAAGGCCGTATACAGGGCGTCCTTGATCTCTTCTAGGTCAGCATCGTCCCCGAGTTGTTGATATACTGCGTAGGCTCCTCCCGTGAGTCTCAGTGGGATGACTAGTGCAGGTTCCTTTATTTTGGACACCCTGCAAACACGTTCGGCTTTTTCAAACCATTCGACGATAGTCGGGCCCGTGGGGGAGCCGTCGAATTCTGGGATCAATTTTAGATCGAACTTGTCCATCGCCGAAATAGCTTGTGGTGTGTAACGCAACAATTCAACTGATGATAACAGGTAGGCAGAAAGAAACCCGGTGTCGCACGTCCAACCTTCTCACGAGCTGAAAGCCCTCTCGTCTCAAACAGCAAAAACGAGCCTGCTTTATACAGCCGCGGACCGACCACGATTTGCATGCGAATGACGAGACAACGAGATTTCGCGTTAACTAATCGAGACCGCCCGGCATAAAACGTGGGAGCCGCCATTTTGGTTTTTCTTTTACCGTTGGAAGGACCAGAGTTTGCATACTGCGCAGATTCGAACGCGTTTCCGAGGTAAGCCATTTTCACAATTTTCCCCACAGATATAAATATTATAAATTATTTTAAGACATCGAAATATGAATTAAAAATAATCTCAAGCTGTGTCCTTTACCTCAAATGATATCGATGTTTATGAAAAATAATATTTAAATAGAAATGTATTCCTATATTTAAATGATTCCCAACAAAACATCTTCTTTTATGTATCGTGTTCCTTCAGGACATGTGCGATCATAATTTCCTGTCTTTTGTAAATCTTAGTAAAGGTCTGCCTTTTTGTTATCCTTCCTAATACTGGTCCTGCCAACCAACTACACAAGCTCATTATGTAGACTATTGGCGGCTTTCCGCTTTCCATTTTACATTGAATATGCCTTGTGGGTATCACATTTTCCAGGTCTTCTTTCCTTATTTCCAACATAATGTTTTTTGGTCTCATCCTTCATAATGAGTGCTGTTCTCTCATTTACCATCCATTCAGGAATACACCCATTTGATCAATGTCGATCAATTCCAAATGTTTCCTTATAAGAAAACGTCTAATATTACGGTCACTATTAACAACTAACGCTTGTCCAATTCTATCATGCAAGATAGAAAACTACTTCAGCCCAAATCGCCAAATCCCATCAGAACTGGAGGGTTTTCCAGTTTGACAGTGTCCTTGTACGATCTTCAACATCCTTGCTCATGATAGTAAAAAATTGTTCTTATGACTCGCGCTATAGGTTTCCTTCAACATCTCATATGAAAGTAGGTTCATCATTGTGAGCAATGTAGATTCCCCAGAGCTCTAACCAGAATTATGTAGCGTCTTCTGGGTTTAATGGGACCGAGTCTCTCTCTATGTCTCTCTCTCTCTCTCTCTCTCTCTCTCTCTCTCTCTCTCTCTCTGTCTCTCTCCTGTTACCTTATGCATAGTTGCTCAAATCATTCCTTAGTTTTAATATATTGACTTCTAGTCTATGTTTCAACCATTGATCTCTTCTCACCATCGCTCAGTTTCGACCCTTCCCTCCGACCAAATACTCAGCTGCTCAAAAGAAAATTCATTATTTTAGTTATATTACTCGTCCTCACATAATTTAATGCGATATTTACTTTGGCCGTCCCTCTATTCATAATTGCCATATATCGAATATTGAAAGGGACTAGAACATTATTTTACAACTAACGTAATGTTATGGTCCGGTTCCTTGTACCACGGTGATAGTCCAAGGTAGAACCAATAAAGAAGAACTCGAATACGGATATGGAATAACACAGATATATTACAAACAGGAATATATACAGAGAAGAAGAAAATGTTAGTACGAACAACCAGGTTTAGTAGTAATTGTCTGAACGCGACTCTGTTTCGGACTGCCTCTGACTTGACTGACTGACAGACTCCTGGCGGACTTCACTCCAGACTTCAGACTGAAACAGTATTTAGTCACTCTCCACGAGGGCATCATGTGGCACAAGGCCAGTTTAACGTGGGATCTCCGAGCCCGTGGGCTCGGCCAAAAATATGCCCTTTACACCCGTATAAACGGGTTCCGGGTCGGTTTACCTCCCCGAAAGAGACTCCGCCCTTCGGCGTAGCTTCGTTCGGGTTCCTCCCCGCCCGAAGGCAGAGAGTTTAACCGATCAGCCGGTCAGCCAGTCGTCCGACTTCAGACTGAAACTCTCTGTTTCCTCTTGAGGCGCATTATTTATTACATATGGAATAGTTTATTATGTTATTATGGGTAAGGTCCCATAACACGTAACAATACCAGAATGACACCAATTTCATCATCCAAGTCACAATCTGCATGATGGGACTTAGTTGCTATCAACCATATTTCCATCTTCTACAGCTGCATCGCTCACAGCATTGTCATCTTTAGAGACAGACTTAACCATATTCTTATCGCTAGTCTCTTCTTTGTCAAGAACACCAGACATTTTATTGTCTTCACCACATTGGACTTCAAGCAACTGTACCTAACCATTCTCAACTAGCTTTTTTGTTGGCAGAAACGACGTCTTGATGCCATCCGCCTTTTCTGAAGTGAGCCAATTATTATTTCGTATCTTTCAAATCTGTATTATTAAGTTAGTTTCAAAAATGTCAAACATTCCCAATTCTATACAATTAGCAAGAAGACGACCTCAGATATTACGTTTTTCTGTCCAGTGTTACCACACATATCTTCTTTGCTCCATCGCCTGCTTTTTGAAGATTGATTTGATTGATTATTCAGTGATTTGCCAGGAGAAGAATAACAGTCAGTAAGTCCCTGGTTTTCCATCCTCAACCTGCCGTGACTGACCATGACTACACGTGTCGCCCATCAGAGCTCCCTTCACTGCCATAGCAGTTTATTATTTCATTGCATATTTCCATCATTACACAAATGAATTGGTTGATATAGAATTATTCCTGCCCTAGTGAATCTTGTTCGTAGTACTAACACTAGGTGGACTGCCAACCAAAGCTCAGAGATGCCAACACCACTCACAGAGATAGCTTAGCAAATATACGACTGTCTGCCTCCAAACTGTCTTACCACGCGCCTGGACACAAAAACACCGTAATTCTACGTCTCCGTGATATTATTAACGTTCATATACTCACATTAAATAGTATTGTTATTCAAGACTTACAAATAAATATTTAAACTGAAATTCTCCCCTCCCCCCAGGGTAAAATGGCAGGACAGACTGGGTCCTATAGCCTTGGGTTGCGACTAATAAACGAGAAGGAAACTTTGAAATCAAACCTGATCAAGCTATCCTAAAAGTGCTGTTGGGACTGCTTTCAGATCCAAATTCCCATTGAAAATCCTACTATGAATTTGCACGGCCGAATGAATACGGCCTCTGCTACGCTTGTTTATCTTTCTTTCGGTTGAGGGGGAGGTTTCATTTGACGGATCCGGCTCAACCGACCTCGTGTGAATGTCGCAACAGGTACAAAGTAAGCAAGGCATCGAGAGAGATGTTTATTAATTTTCGTCTCACCTTTTTCATAATTTTCATCATAAATTTCATCATATACCTTAATGCGTAAAACTTCCTAACCTAATATCAATTTTATCAAATTAATAATTCCTTGTATTGTAGAAACGTGCACTCCCGAAATAAGGAGAGCAACTGTTAAGTAATGATTATTCTCAGTAATAAAATATTGGCACATATTTACAAATTGACTGAATCGAATATTCGCCGTGGTTCGCCTTGGAGATAAGAAAATGTAAGTTTCATCCAAGAGGCTAAAAGGCCCAAATATACCTTTTCATAATCTATATATTTTATTTATGGACTTGTTGCTGACATTGAGGATGAAAAAAGCTTGGAGAAATATCAAAAGAGAAGAAAGAAAAAAGAAAAGACAAAACTTTATTTCCTTGATGCAAATATTTTGTTTCTTTCCACTGGTCGTCTAAAGTTCGTAGCAGCTAAGAAGATGCAATCACGAACAATGCAGAGAATACGCTGATACACTGAAAAGTAACACAGATGGCATTTTGAATATAAAAGATATGACTACGCCATGAAAATTAATTCTTTAATTGGTACTCGATAATCTCTTTCTTTTATGTATATATAGTAATAATAACTAATAGCGTGATTGAAAAGTAATAGGCGTTAATGTGAATGGCACAAGGCTGTTGTAGTTGGGAAAACGTATGAATGCTTGATAATCAGTATTTAGAATTCTAGCTTT